TATTCACGTCAAGTTCCGCTGGTAAAAAGCACTGATGACAAAAAAACACCTTTTTTAGGCTTTTAGCATTAATTATTCACGTCAAGTTCCGCTGGTAAAAAGCACTGATGACAAAACAAAACACTTTTTCACGCTTTTAGCATTACATATTCACGTCAAGTTCCGCTGGTAAAAAGCACTGATGACGAAAAAAACATTTTTCCAGCTTTTAGCATTACATAGTTGCGTCAAATTCCGCTGGTAAAAAGCACTGATGAACAAAAACACTTTTTCACGCTTTTAGCATTACATATTCACGTCAAGTTCCGCTGGTAAAAAGCACTGATGACAAAAAAAAAACACTTTTGTTGCTTTTAGCATTACATATTCACGTCAAGTTCCTCTGGTAAAAAGCACTGATGACAAAAAAAACACTTTTTCACGCTTTTACCATTACATATTCACGTCAAGTTCCGCTGGTAAAAAGCACTGATTACAAAAAAACACCTTTTTTAGGCTTTTAGCATTAATTATTCACGTCAAGTTCCGCTGGTAAAAAGCACTGATGACAAAAAAAACACTTTTTCACGCTTTTACCATTACATATTCACGTCAAGTTCCGCTGGTAAAAAGCACTGATGACAACGAAACACCTTTTTTAGGCTTTTAGCATTAATTTTTCACGTCAAGTTCCGCTGATAAAAAGCACTGATGACAAAAAAAAACACTTTTCTTGCTTTTAGCATTACATATTCACGTCACGTTCCGCTGGTAAAAAGCACTAATGATAAAAAACACTTTTTCACGCTTTTAGCACTACATATTCACGTCAAGTTCCGCTGGTAAAAAGCACTGATGACAAAAAAAACACCTTTTTAAACTTTTAGCATTAATTATTTACGTCAAGTTCCGCTGGTAAAAAGCACTGGTGACCAGAAAAACACTTTTTCACGCTTTTATCTTTACATATTCACGTCAAGTTCCGCTGGTAAAAAGCACTGATCACAAAAAAAACACCTTTTTTAGGCTTTTAGCATTAATTATTCACATCAAGTTCCGCTGGTAAAAAGCACTGATGACAAAACAAAACACTTTTTCACGCTTTTAGCATTACATTTTCACGTCAAGTTCCGCTGGTAAAAAGCACTGATGACAAAAAAAAAACATTTTTCCCGCTTTTAGCATTACATATTTGCGTCAAATTCCGCTGGTAAAAAGCACTGATGAACAAAAACCTTTTTTCACGCTTTTAGCATTACATATTTACGTCAAGTTCCGCTGGTAAAAAGCACTGATGACAAAAAAAAACACTTTTCTTGCTTTTAGCATTAGATATTCACGTCGAGTTCCGCTGGTACAAAGCACTAATGACAAAAAAACACTTTTTCACGCTTTTAGCATTACATATTCACGTCAAGTTGCTGTTGAAAAGCACTGATGACAAGAAAAACACTTTTTCACGCTTTTAACATTAGATATTCACGTCAACTTCCGCTGGTAAAAAGCACTGACGAACCAAACACTTTTTCACGCTTCTATCATTTAATATTCACGTCAAGTTCCGCTGGTAAAAAGTACTGATGACAAAAAAACACTTTTCACGCTTTTAGCATTACATATCCACGTCACGTTCCGCTGGTAAAAAGCACTAATGACAAAAAAAAACTTTTTTTTCGCGCTTTTAGCATTACATTTTCACGTCAAGTTCCGCTGGTAAAAAGCACTGATGACAAAAAAAAACACTTTTCACGCTTTTAGCATTACATATTCACGTCACGTTCCGCTGGTAAAAAGCACTAATGACAAAAAAAAACTTTTTTTTCGCGCTTTTAATATTACATATTCACGTCCAGGGCGATATGAATGTGCATTTCAATTCGAATGGGATCCCGTCAACTATAACCGCCCTCCCCTACGGTACCTAGTAATGCCTAGAATCGAGCACTTAATTTAACGGTTACGCTCATGACAGTTTCCTAACTAGTTGCGAGTCTCCCACTTTTGCAAAAGGGGGAGAATTCAATTAAAGATATCAACCAAATTGCCCCTTAGCTAATGGCGGGTATTCTCACTGGTAAAAAGCACTGATGACAGAAAAAAAAAACACTTTTCTTGCTTTTAGCACTACATATTCACGTCACGTTCCGCTGATAAAAAGCACTAATGAACAAAAACACTTTTTCACGCTTTTAGCATTACATATCACGTCACGTTCCGCTGCTAAAAAGCACTAATGAACAAAAACACTTTTTCACGCTTTTAGCATTACATATTCACGTCAAGTTCCGCTGGTAAAAAGCACTGATGACAAAAAAAAACACTTTTTCGCGCTTTTACCATAACATATTCACGTCAAGTTCCGCTGGTAAAAAGCACTGATGACAAAAAAAACACCTTTTTTAGGCTTTTAGCATTAATTATTCACGTCAAGTTCCGCTGGTAAAAAGCACTGATGACAAAAAAAAACACTTTTTCACGCTTTTAGCATTACATATTCACGTCAAGTTCCGCTGGTAAAAAGCACTGATGACAACAAAACACCTTTTTTAGGCTTTTAGCATTAATTATTCACGTCAAGTTCCGCTGATAAAAAGCACTGATGACAAAAAAAACACTTTTTCACGCTTGTAGCATTACATATTCACATCAAGTTCCGCTTGTAAAAAGCACTGATGACAAAAAGTCACTTTTTCCCGCTTTTAGAATTACATATTCACATCAAGTTCCGCTTGTAAAAAGCACTGATGACAAAAAAGTCACTTTTTCCCGCTTTTAGCATTACATATTTGCGTCAAACTCCGCTGGTAAAAAGCACTGATGAACAAAAACACTTTTTCACACTTTTATCATTACATATTCACGTCAAGTTCCGCTGGTAAAAAGCACTGATGACAAAAAAAAAACACTTTTCTTGCTTTTAGCATTACATATTCACGTCACGTTCCGCTGGTAAAAAGCACTAATGACAAAAAACACTTTTTCACGCTTTTAGCATTACATATTCACGTCAAATTCCGCTGGTAAAAAGCACTGATGACAAAAAAAACACCTTTTTTAGGCTTTTAGCTTTAATTATTCACGTCAAGTTCCGCTGGTAAAAAGCATTGATGACAAAAAGAAAACACTTTTCCCGCTTTTAGCATTACATATTCACGTCAAGTTCCGCTGGTAAAAAGCACTGATGACAAAAAAAACACTTTTCTTGCTTGTAGCATTACATATTCACGTCACGTTCCGCTGGTAAAAGCACTAATGACAAAAAACACTTTTTCACGCTTTTAGCATTACATATTCACGTCAAGTTCCGCTGGTAAAAAGCACTGATGACGAGAAAAACACTTTTTCACGCTTTTACCTTTACATATTCACGTCAAGTTCCGCTGGTAAAAAGCACTGATGACAAAAAAAACACCTTTTTTAGGCTTTTAGCATTAATTATTCACGTCAAGTTCCGCTGGTAAAAAGCACTGATGACAAAACAAAACACTTTTTCACGCTTTTAGCATTACATATTCACGTCAAGTTCCGCTGGTAAAAAGCACTGATGACAAAAAAAACACTTTTCCCGCTTTTAGCATTACATATTCGCGGTCAAATTCCGCTGGTAAAAAGCACTGATGAACAAAAACACTTTTTCAAGCTTTTAGCATTACATATTCACGTCAAGTTCCGCTGGTAAAAAGCACTGATGACAAAAAAAAAACACTTTTCCCGCTTTTAGCATTACATATTCGCGTCAAATTCCGCTGGTAAAAAGCACTGATGAAAAAAACACTTTTTCTTGCTTTTAGCATTACATATTCACGTCACGTTCCGCTGGTAAAAAGCAAAAAAGCACTTATGACAAAAAACACTTTTTCACGCTTTTAGCATTACATATTCACGTCAAGTTCCGCTGGTAAAAAGCACTGATGACAAGAAAACACCTTTTTTAGGCTTTTAGCATTACATATTCACGTCAAGTTCCGCTGGTAAAAAGCACTGATCACAAAAAAAAACACTTTTCTTGCTTTTAGCTTTACATATTCACGTCAAGTTCCGCTGGTAAAAAGCACTGCTGACAAGAAAAACACTTTTTCACGCTTTTAACATTAGATATTCACGTCAAGTTCCGCTGGTAAAAAGCACTGATGACAAAAAAAACACCTTTTTTAGGCTTTTAGCTTTAATTATTCACGTCAAGTTCCGCTGGTAAAAAGCACTGATGACAAAAAAAAACACTTTTCCCGCTTTTAGCATTACATATTCACGTCAAGTTCCGCTGGTAAAAAGCACTGGTGACAAAAGAACAATTTTCTTGCTTGTAGCATTACATATTCACGTCACGTTCCGCTGGTAAAAGCACTAATGACAAAAAACACTTTTTCACGCTTTTAGCATTACATATTCAGGTCAAGTTCCGCTGGTAAAAAGCACTGACGAACCAAACACTTTTTCAGGCTTTTATCATTACATATTCACGTCAAGTTCCGCTGGTAAAAAGCACTGATGACAAAAAAAACACTTTTCACGCTTTTAGCATTACATATTCACGTCACGTTCCGCTGGTAAAAAGCACTAATGACAAAAAAAAAACTTTTTTTTCGCGCTTTTAGCATTACATATTCACGTCAGGGCGATATGAATGTGCTTTCAATTCGAATGGGATCCCGTCAACTATAACCCCCCTCCCCTATGGTACCTAGTAATGCCTAGAATCGAGCACTTAATTTAACGGTTACGCTCATGACAGTTTCCTAACTAGTTGCGAGTCTCCCACTTTTGCAAAAGGGGGAGAATTAAATTAAAGATATCAACCAAATGCCCCCTTAGCTAATGGCGGGTATTCTCATAAGGAAGCGAAACAAACTGTTTGGAGCTTGATTGTAACTTTTTTTCCTGTTCATCTCGTGGCCAAAATAATTACTGAAAGATTTAATTTCCCTCTGATTCATAAATCAATACTTTAGCAGGTTTTTTTTACGTTTGCGCGTCTCTGGTACACGGAACATATGTAGAAGAGATCCACAGATTGTACTTACCCTGTCGACTATGAAGAGTGACAGCTGGAGCCCGTTGAAAAAAGTGTAGAGAACACTGTTCACTATCAGAGCTAGGGTGACCTAAAATAACATCATTTGACAGAGTCAAAAAGAACGTCGAAACACTACGAGCAAAAATTGAGACAGCAATATATGGTCAAAGAGAAAGGTAAACACGGAATGAACCATTGTCGAACAGAACTTATAACCACATCGAGCACAAAACAGAACATCACAAAATAAAATAACACAGTCGAACAAAGAGTTTTACCTTAGTGTCTAACAAAAATTCGAAGCGTAGTGCAATATATTATCAATCAAAAAAATCGAAACATATTGTAACCCTAACCCTAATAAGTTGAAGCGTTTTTTTCCCGTAAACAACTTTGTCCACATTCCTATACGATCTCCTTTTCTAGAGGATCTTCTTTTCCAGAGGATTTTCTGGCTGTAGTTTTTAACTTCAGGTTTTAATTATCTTTTCAACGGTTGTTATTTCAAGCTGTAATTATCGTTTCAGATTGTGATTATCTTTATGAAAATTTTTTTTGAGTTGTTGGTTTCCTCCTAGTTTCTATCGGTTTATTTTCCGTTTTGTTTAAACGCCATTTATTTTATCTGATAGTATTTTTATTGGTTTAGTTGTTAAAGCATGGGTTTTGTTCGAGTTGAAACAGTTTTTACCTTAACTGAAATTTCACATTTTTTTTTCAATTATTCAAACAGTTTCAGTTTATGGTTTATCAACTGAGTCAAATTGTTTTGAGAGCAAAAAAATTATCCAATGGGAAATATGTTTCACTTTGGATGGGTCGTAGAAAAACGTTCATGACAACAATTTGTTTTCGGTTCAACAAGTTTCGACCCAAAGTTTGTCGCTTTTGTTGCCTTTGGTAAAGGAGTTCCATTTTTAAGTGCTGTTTTATGAACCTCATTCCATATTAACTTGAAGTTTTTGTAGCTGTAATTTTTCCAACTTTTGTCAAGTTATTTTCTCAAATTCTTTTTTCCAACTTAATTTTATCAATTTTTTGGCTTCTATATATTTTTTCATTCACTATTTTGTAGCGCCATGTTTTTTTGCATCGCAAGTGTTGTGAAGCTCCGTTTCGCCTCTGTGATAAAGTTTGACAACTGATTTGTGGTTTGATAGCATAATTTTAGGTCCTTTTACGATGGGGGTTTCCCCATATTTTCTAGAAGACACACTTAAGACTCTGCTTACCGCATTGTCTGTTTTCTGCGCGGATGATTTTTCGACCGGAGCGCGACTGCTGGCGCTTTTATTCCGCCTGCGCAACATAACTACCAGAAACCCGGTGAGAATTGTCATGAGAAGCACACTGGGGAACCCTGCGAGAGCAACAGTGTACTCCACCACGATGCTGTTCCACGTTGCTTGACACACTGCAACACGCTCGCTTATTTTCTCCAACCCGCTAAAATTTAGCACATCTAATACAGCAAGTCTAATTCACTTAGTCAATGAGTCTAATTAATCGAATTTAGCAAGTCTAATTCACTTAGTCAATGAGTCTAATTCATCGAATTCAGCAAGTCTAATTCATTTAGTCAATAAGTCTAATTCATCGAATTCAGCAAGTCTAATTCACTTAGTCAACGAATCTATTTCATCTAATTCAGCAAGTCTAATTCACTTAGTCAACGAGTCTAATTCATCTAATTCAGCAAGTCTAATTCACTTAGTCAACGAGTCTAATTCATCGAATTCAGCAAGTCTAATTCACTTAGTCAATAAGTCTAATTCATCGAATTCAGCAAGTCTAATTCACTTAGTCAACGAATCTAATTCATCTAATTCAGCAAGTCTAATTCACTTAGTGAACGAGTCTAATTCATCTAATTCAGCAAGTCTAATTCACTTAGTCAACGAGTCTAATTCATCTAATTCAGCAAGTCTAATTCACTTAGTCAACGAGTCTAATTCATCTAATTCAGCAAGTCTAGTTTACTTAGTCAACGAGTCTAATTCATCTATTTCAGTAAAGTGTAACTAATCTAGTTCAGCTAGTTTAATTAATTTAGTCAGCAAGTCTAATTAATCTAGCAAGCAAGTCTAATTCATCTAATTCAACAAGTGTAATTCATCACCATGTCTAAGCAAACCTAATTCACATTAATGTTGAACATTTAAATAGTTTGGCTCTAATTCCTTTAACCCATCCTTTCCTAATAAACTTAAATACAAATAACGTTATTTTTGGCAAAAGGTTCGTCGCAAAAAAGAATAGTAGTTTTTTTTAAAAGTGTTTTCAGGAAAAACCATAAAACGTATAGCAGAATCGTCAAAACTTTTCAGGTAAACATGTATTGCTGAATTCTCAAAGGATAACAACCAAAAAATGAAACGTTTGAAAAAGTATTAGTTTGTCACGGAAGGCTTAAAGCTTTTAGAGAAGAGTAAAATTACAATTTTTTAATTTTGTTGCTGTAATTTTAGTTGAGTCTAGTTTCTGTTTAGTAAAAGCGACTAACATTTGTAAACAACAGCGACAACAAGGCGTATTTAGGGGGCGGTTGCGGGGGGGGGGGGGACGTTTACCTCTCAGGGATTCGACCCCCTGCCGACTCCAAGGGTCCCCCCTTTGGTACTTTTTAAGATTTTAAGAAATCCATTTTTGGTGACGGACATTAAAATTTTTTCAAAGGCGCCAATATATACTAACTTTGAAGGGGAGCGCGCGCCAAAAAACGCGATTTTTTCGTCAAAATTTTCCAAAAAGTGCCCAAAAACTGCTTTTTTGACCTGTTTTTTCAAAAATTTGCCTGCGGCGCAAACAATTTGGCCAAAACAGCTTTTTTTTAGTGCCCCCCCTCCTCGAGAAAGTTCTAGATCCGTCCATGTGCCAGAAGGAGATGTTAATAGGTAAAAAACCTTAATATTCTGGTATAATTAAACTGTAATGTCAGTCTCTTATTATTTTTTTTGTAATTTTTAAGTAATTTAACGTCATTTGAAAAATGGCAAAAATTAGACCAATTGTTCACGACAATTAGACTCTTTTTTAATTGAACTGTTGGAATCCAGATCACAAAATTTGATACTACTCTTTGCGCCCACAAATTAGTTTGCGCTACTCAAAATCGGTTGAGAAAAAAGGTCATTAATGTAATTCTTTCCAACCCTTCAGTGACGCGGTGGGAGTAAAAAAAGGTTTGAAATACAAGAAAAATGCGCGGAAACAGCCAATGGCGAGCAGGATTGCAATTGAAGTCAGAATTGGAATGAAGGCCGCCTTCTGGGTGCAGTTCTGCTTGTACCACACTCCCCCTGTACCATCACGGGGTCTTCTTCTAGGATCATTCATCACCTCTCCATAATTTGAAGTTTGAAATTTGAACTCACTTACCCAGAAAAATACATGTAAAATACAATTTTTAAATTACCTTGTTAAAATTACAATGTTGAAGAAATTAGCGTGATTTATTCTCTGGAAGGGCTGTTGAAATGGTCTCTAAGAACTGTAATCAATTATATGTAGCGCTTCAATAATGAATGAGGTTTGGCCTGAAAATGATGTTAACAATGAAGAAATGCGAACCCTACACAGCTTTAAAGTTGACGTGGACATTCCGGACCGAGGTAATGTAACCGCGACCGGCGCAAACGAAGAAAAATTGACAGCGAACGACGCGACCGAAGGAAAAGTAACCGCGACCGGCGTGAACGAATAATAGTTAAACGCTACCGGCGCAACGGTAGGAAAATTAACAGCGACCGGCGCGGCCGAAGAAAAAATAACCGTGACCGGCGCGACCAAAGAAACGTTAAACGCGACCGGCGTTACCGAAGGAAAGTAAACGGCGACCGAAGAAAAGTTTAGCACGACCAAAGAAAAGTGAACCGCCATCGGCGCGACCAAAGGAAAGTTACCCGTGACCGAAGAAAAATTAACAGCGACCGAAGAAAAATTAACAGCGACCGGCGCGACCAAAGGAAAAATAACCGCGGCGGGAAAAAAATTAACAGTGACCGGCGCGACCAAAAAAAGTTAAGCGCGACCAGCGCGACCAAAGTAAAGTTAGCCGCGACCGAAGAAAAATTAAGCGCGACCAGCGCGACAAAAGGAAGGTTAACCGCGACCGGCGCGACCGAAGCACAAGTAACCGCGACCAATGTGACCTAAGGATAGTTAACCGCGACGGAAGGAAAATTAACAGCGACCGGTGCGGCCGAAGGAAAAGTAAACGTGACCGGCGCGACCAAAGGAACGTTAACAGCGACAGGCGTAACCGAAGGAAAGTTAACCGCGACCGAAGAAAAGTTTAGCGCGACCAGCGCGACCAAAGAAAAGTTAACCGCGATAGGCGCGACCAAAGGAAAGTTTACCGCGATCGGCGTGACCGAAGAAAAATTAACAGCGACCAAAGAAAAATTAACAGTGACCGGCGCGACCAAAGGAAAAATAACCGCGGCGGGAAAAAAAGTTAACAGTGACCGCCGCGACCAAACAAAAGTTAAGCGCGACCAAAGGAAAGTTAGCCGCGACTGAAGAAAAGTTAAGCGCGACCAGCGCGACATAAGGAAGGTTAACCGCGACCGGCGCGTTCGAAGCACAAGTAACCGCGACCAAGGTGACCGAATGATAGTTAACCGCGACGGAAGGAAAATTAACATCGACCGGCGCGACCAAAGGAACGTTAACAGCGACCGGCGTAACCGAAGGAAAGTTAACCGCGACCGAAGAAAAATTTAGCGCGACAGCGCGACCAAAGAAAAGTTAACCGCGATCGGCGCGACCAAAGGAAAGTTAACCGCGATCGGCTTGACCGGAGAAAAGTTAACCGCGACCGAACAAAAATTAACAGCGACCAAAGAAAAATTAACAGCGAACGGCGCGACCAAAGGAAAAACAACCGCGGCGGGAAAAACGTTAACAGTGACCGCCGCGACCAAAAAAAAGTTAAGCGCGACCAAAGAAAAGTTAAGCCCGACCAGCGCGACAAAAGGAAGGTTAATCGCGACCGGCGCGACCGAAACACAAGTAAACGCGACCAATGTGACCGAATGATAGTTAACCGCGACGGAAGGAAAACTAACAGCGAGCGGCGCGGCCGAAGGAAAAGTAACCGTGACCGGCTCGACCAAAGAAACGTTAAGCGTGACCGGCTTAACCGAAGGAAAGTAAACCGCGACCGAAGAAAAATTTAGCTCGACAGCGCGACCAAAGAAAAGTTAACCGCGATCGGCGCGACCAAAGGAAAGTGAACCGCGATTGGCGTGACCGGAGAAAAGTTAACCGCAACCGAAGATAAATTAACAGCGACCAAACAAAAATTAACAGCCAACTCAAAGTTCTCCGCAAAAAGAGTGGCCGAAGGAAAATTAACGGCTACATGTGCGGTTGAAAAAAGTTAACATCGACAGGCGTGACCGAAGGAAAGTTAACCGCGAACGGCGAGGCAGAAGAAAATGTAACAGCTACCAGCGCGACCGAAGGAAAAGTAACCGCGATCGGCGAGACCAAAGGAAAAATAACCGCGGCGGAAAAAAAGTTAACAGTGACCGGCACGACCAAAAAAAGTTAAGCGCGACCAAAGAAAAGTTAAGCCCAACCAGCGCGACAAAAGGAAGGTTAACCGCGACCGGCGCGACCGAAGCACAAGTAAACGCGACCAATGTGACCGAATGATAGTTAACCGCGACGGAAGGAAAATCAACAGCGACCGGTGCGGCCGAAGGAAAATTAACAGTGACCGGCGCGACCAAAGGAACGCTAATATCGACCGGCGTAACCGAAGGAAAGCTAAACGCGACCGAAGAAAAATTAAGCGCGACCAGTGCTACCAGCGCTACCAAAGGAAAGTTAACCGCGATCGGCGCGACAAAAGGAAAGTTAACCGCGATCGGCGCAACCAAGCGAAAGTTAAACGCGATCGGCGTGACCGGAGGAAAGTTAACCGCGACCGAAGAAAAGTTAACAGCGATCAAAGAAAAATTAACAACGACCGGCGCGATCGAAGGAAAGTTGACCGCGACCAGTGTGACCGAAGGACAGTTAACCGCAAACGGCGCGACAGAAGGAAAAGTAACAGCGACCGGCGCGACCGAAGGAAAAGTAACCGCGACGGGAGAAAAGTTAACAGCGACCGGCGCGATCGAAGAAAAATTAACTGCGACCGGTGCGGCCGAAGTAAAAGTAACCGTGACCGGCGCGACCAAAGGAATGCTAATAGCGACCGGCGTAACCGAAGGAAAGCTAAACGCGATCGAAGAAAAGTTAAGCGCGACCAGCGCTACCAGCGCTACCAAAGGAAAATTTACCGCGATCGGCGCGACAAAAGGAAAGTTAACCGCGATCGGCGCAACCAAACGAAAGTTAAACGCGATCGGCGTGACCGGAGAAAAGTTAACCGCGACCGAAGAAAAGTTAACAGCGATCAAAGAAAAATTAGCAACGACCGGCGCGATCGAAGGAAAATTGACCGCGACCAGTGTGACCGAAGGACAGTTAACCGCGAACGGCGCGACAGAAGGAAAAGTAACAGCGACCGGCGCGACCGAAGGAAAAGTAACCGCGACGGGAGAAAAGTTAACAGCGACCGGCGCGATCGAAGGAAAGTTGACCGCGACCAGTGTGACCGAAGGACAGTTAACCGCGAACGGCGCGACAGAAGGAAAAGTAACAGCGACCGGCGCGACCGAAGGAAAAGTAACCGCGACGGGAGAAAAGTTAACAGCGACCGGCGCGATCGAAGGAAAATTAACTGCGACCGGTGCGACCGAAGTAAAAGTAACCGTGACCGGCGCGACCAAAGGAACGCTAATAGCGACCGGCGTAACCGAAGGAAAGCTAAACGCGACCGAAGAAAAGTTAAGCGCGACCAGCGCTACCAGCGCTACCAAAGGAAAGTTTACCGCGATCGGCGCGACAAAAGGAAAGTTAACCGCGATCGGCGCAACCAAACGAAAGTTAAACGCGATCGGCGTGACCGGAGGAAAGTTAACCGCGACCGAAGAAAAGTTAACAGCGATCAAAGAAAAATTAGCAACGACCGGCGCGATCGAAGGAAAATTGACCGCGACCAGTGTGACCGAAGGACAGTTAACCGCGAACGGCACGACAGAATGAAAATTAACAGCGACCGGCTCGACCGAAGGAAAAGTAACCGCGATGGGAGAAAAGTTAACAGCGACCGGCATGATCGAAGGAAAATTAACTGCGACCGGCGTGACCGAAGAAAAAATAACCGCAAACGGCGCGACCGAAGAAACGTTAACCGCGACCGGCGTTACCGAAGGAAAAAAAACGGCGACCGAAGAAAAGTTTAGCGCGACCAGCGCGACCAAAGCACAAGTAACCGCGACCAATGTGACCGAATGATAGTTAACTGCAACGGGCGCGACCTAAGGAAAAGTAACCGCGACGGGAGAAAAAATAACAGCGACCGGCGCGATCGAAGGAAAGTTAACTGCGACCGGCGTGACCGAAGAAAAAATAACCGCGAACGGCGCGACCCAAGAAAAAGTAACCGCGACCGGCGCGACAAAAATGAAGATAACCGCGAGCGGCGCGACCGAAGCACAATAACCGCGACCAATGTGACCGAATGATAGTTAACCTCGACCGGCGCGACGGAAGTAAATTTAAAAGCGACCGGCGCGGCCAAAGAAAAACTAAACCAGACGGGCGCGGCCAAAGAAGCGTTAACAGTGACAGCGTAGCCGAAGTTAAACGCGACCGAAGAAAAGTTAAGCGCGACCAGCGCGACCAAAGGAAAGTTAACCGCGATCGGCGCGACTAAAGGAAAATTAACAGCGATCGTTGTGACCGGAGGAAAGTTTACCGCGACCGAAGAAAAAATAGCAGCGACCAAAGAAAAATTAACAGCGAACGGCGCGACCAAAGGAAAAATAACCACGGCGGGAAAAAAATAAGCGCGACCAAAGAAAAAATAAGCCCAACCAGCGCGACAAAAGGAAGGTTAACCGCGACCGGTGCGACCGAAGCACAAGAAAACGCGACCAATGTGACCGAATGATAGTTAACCGCGACGGAAGAAAAATTTAGCGCGACAGCGCGACCAAAGAAAAGTTAACCGCGATCGGCGCGACCAAAGGAAAATTAACCGCGATCGGCGTGACCGGAGAAAAGTTAACCGCGACCGAAGAAAAATAAACAGCGACCAAAGAAAAATTAACAGCGAACGGCGCGACCAAAGGAAAAATAACCGCGGCGTGAAAAAAAGTTAACAGTGACCTGCGCGACCAAAAAAAAATAAGCGCGACCAAAGAAAAAATAAGCCCAACCAGCGCGACAAAAGGAAGGTTAACCGCGACCGGCGCGACCGAAGCACAAGTAAACGC